AAAAAAAAAAAAAAAAAAAAAGAATGGGGGCCTAACCCTCCCTAAATGTGAGCTCAACCTCAGTGAACACACAGCTTAGGGAGGAAGCCCCTGTGCCCAGCAAATACTTTGAATAAATCTTGATAGCAGATAAGGCAGCTGGCACATTGGAGCCAAGTGGCTGGGTTGGGGTATATCTAGGAGACACAACTGAAGGATTTGGAGGAATCAAATATGATGTGTTGGCTTCTGACCAGATGGATGATGGAGCCCTTTATTAAACAGGGAAAAACAGATTGAGAAGCAGGTTTGAAGGGAAGATGATGAGATCACAAGTATGGTTTTGAACTTGTTGAGTGGGAAATGTTTGTGAGACGGTCTTTCAGAGACACGTGATGGGCAGCTGAATACACAAGTCTGCCCTCTGAAGGGAGAGCAGGGCTCTGGGTACCGACGTGGGAGTTGTCTTATAGGGATAGGTGGTGACTGAGGCCCCAAGAAGAGGAGCCCCTTTATACTGAGAAGCAGGTAGAGAGGGTAGAAGCAAACCAAAGCCAGTGTCACAGGCTGTTAGGAAGTAAAGGAAGATAAAGCCTGAGACATGCCCATTAGATTTAGCAAAAAAGCACCTCCTGGGGACCTCCAAGGGGGCAGTTTCGGTGAGGTGGTGGGAGCAAAATCTAGGCTGTCTTATGGCAGAGGCTGACAGGTGTTCACCTAAGCTCTCTCTTCCAGCTCCTGGGCATGGGGCTGAGTTTCATTTCCCAGCCTCCCTTGTGTCTGGGTGAGGCCACACGTTTGAGGTCTGGCACAAGGACTGTGCATGGGAAAGTATGCACTCTCACCTCCAGGATACAGCCCTTCCCCACCATCCTCCAGGGACCCTTCCTCCACGTCGCCCAGTCAGGGTAGAGGATCTAGGGGGGCTCCAAGGCCTCGGGGGCCCATAGCAGCTACATGGAAGGAAACTGGTCCCTGGGTTGTTACATGGCGCCAGGGGGCTCTGGCCAGTGGGGCTGGTGGGCACGGACTCCCTGAGGTCAGCAGCGGAGTGGGTGAACAGCCAGCTGGACAGCAGTGACCATAGGGGTCGGAGCAGATCAGCAGTCAGTGAGAGGGGTCTGCAAGCCAGGGCCAGGTGAGCCCCAGCCAGAGTGTAAAATGCTCCCTTCTGGAAAGCGCTGGAGTTGAAAGACAGCAGCAGCAAGATGCCTGCTGGTACAAGACGCATACTGCACGTGTCCATGCTCTCCTCAGCTACATAGGCCCCTGGGGCCCTGGCTGAGTCCATCCTTCACAGATGGGCCACTCGCCTGGACTGTGCAGCTCTGGCAGCCTGGTGAGGTGCTGACAGAAGGTCACACCACGTTTAGCCACCAGCTGAGCAGGACCCTGGCACGGCGGCAGCCTGACTCTATCAACTACAGTGGATCAGCAGTCAGATCCCCTGGGGTCTGCTTCTGGTTCTGCTTCTAACTCACAGGTGACCGTGAGCAATCCCCTCCCCCTTGCCACACCCCTCAACTACAAAGTGAAGGGATGAGGCTGGATGATTTTAAAGTGTCTTGTGCTGGGAATTCCCTGGGAGTCCAGTGGTTAGGACTTCACGCTTTCATTGCCAAGGGCCTGGGTTCAATCCCTGGTCCGAGAACTAAGATGCCACAAGCCACGTGGTTAGATAATTCCACCGTCTCCCTGAAAGAGCTGTATTCAGGAAGCTTTGTCTAACAGCAGCCTTCCAGTGCCTCTGACCAGGGAAATCTTGCCACCATCAGCCTGCGTGAGTTAGAAGACAGCAGGCCAGCCTCCAGTGAGCAGGGGAAGAGAGAAAAGAGGAAAAAAAGAGGAGGCTGGTGGGGATTAGCCAGTATGAATTCTGGCATGAGGTCAGCAAGCTCTTCACCCCTGGGAATAGCTGCTTTCTATTTCTTTTCTCTTTTTTAACCATTTACATTTACAACAAAGCCCTTTCCCTGCTGTCCCCATTTCTTGTTCCCTTTATGATAGGCTGGCTCCACTTTCCACAACTCCCTTGTTCCAGGAAGAAAGAGAACTGGGAGGGGATGGGATGTGTTCTCCCATTTTGCTTTTCTTGCTGGGGCCACTTTCAACTTGGCCTGGTTCTGATTTTCCTGAAAGAACAGCGTTGGATGGGACCTTTAAAAGGAAAGAGCTCCCGTCTCATCTGCCCAAATATTTGCTTGTTTACATAGGGGACAGATTTCCTCCGTTCGAGTGTGATTCAGGCTCCTATAAAGTACATTTGTCCCCTGATCCTATGACTACTAATGGAATGGGAGGTGACCCGCGAATATACAGAGCACATGGGAAAACCAGCTTGGAGTAGAAAATCTTCCAGGACGGTCCAGCCTGGGTGGGAAAGTTGACCAGGATGGAGGCTCACGCAGCGCATAAGACAAGCACGAGTCACGCCCAGCACACCCCTGCATGACCCAGCTGGGGTGGCAGGGGAGTCCCACCCCAAAGGTGCCTCCTCACCTAGCATGGATGTGACCATGGGGGAGATGACCAGGGGGAGAAGCAAGACCCAGGAGCTGCAAAACCACCTGAGGAGACAGGAGATGACCTCTTCAGGAAGAGGAAAGGTATTGTGTCTCTAAATTCTAAGAACTTGGCGAAAGGAGAGAAGATAACACCTTTATTATCCATCTGCTAGAGGAAATGATTCTGCACAACAACAGAACCTACTAGCTGCCAAAGTGGATGCGCAGTGACTCCTGAGGATGGCCTCCTTGCCTGGATCCGCTAAAGGCTCTGAGTCAGAGGCCTTTGAGAGCATCATGCTGAGCCTGGGCTGCTGGGGACACGGCCTGGAGCTCCTAAGAGCTGACCCGGCCACAGGTCCCCTGGTACATGGATGCAGAGGGAAGCCTCTTCCCAGGTGTGAAAAAGACCAACTGCTCCTTGCTGGGCAGAGGAGGACCATCTCTGGGCTTCACCGGGGCAGGCAGCCAGCCACGGGGTCCAGCCGCGGCACCGGCACAAAGTTCACGGGGCAGAGCAGCAGCGGGCACATCTTCTCGTGCTCTTTCAGCACCTCGCTCAGGTGCTTCAGCTCCTCTGTCAGCTTCCCGATCTCTCTCCGCAGCACTGTGTTTTCTTGCTCCAGGCACTCATATTCCTGGGAAGACAGAAATCAGTCTTCAGCATCGGTTCTGAAACCATGCGCCCTTCCCTGTCCTCCGGGCAGATCTAACCCCGGTCACGACGCTCACCTCCTTCCCTGAAATCTTTCTCATTAGCCGCCTCCACCACTCAGATTTGTTTGTTCATTTGCTTCACATCTCTCCCCTCCCACCAGGATGAGGGCCGGGCTTTGTTTTCTGAATCATCTTTATTATCTTATTTATAATTGACATAAAATAAAATGCACCTAATTTTAAGTGTATAATTTGATGAGTTTTGACAAATGTAAACAACTGTGTTGCTCAAGACGCAGAACATTTCCATCACTCTGAAAAGTTCCCTGATCTCCCTCTGTAGTCAGTGACCCTCTCCCCACAGCTGCTGATCTGCTTTCCGATGGTTTCTGCTGGGTTCACTGTTACAGCCCCAGCACCTGGAACAGTGCCGGGAACATAACAAATGTTTGTCGAATGCTGAGTAAATGAATGAAAACACCCCTTGCTTTGGCTTTGCTCCAACACTCACCTGTTAAGCTTCCACTATATCGGAGTTTACAGAGGCTTAGAACTGCGGGAGATCAGAGAGCCCTTAGCCCAAACCACACAGTGCAGAAACCTTCCCTATGTAATTCTAGCTCCGACATCCAACTTGCGCTGGACACTCTCTCCTTCAAAGGACAGTTCCTGCTATTTCTGAGCTGCTCTATTAGAAAGCTCCTCTTTGTACTATCCAAAATCATTCTCTCCTTTAAACCCACGCACTGGGCTTGGTTCCACCTATGGAACCACATAGAGTACATGCAATACTTTTTCAACATCACAGTTCTTGAAATGTTAGGAGACGGCCCCATACCACTTCCCCTTAGGTATTCTCTGAGCCCAACTGCTTCAGGTCCTCTGAGTTCCTTGGGTTTCAGGACTTCTGGTTCCAACGCCCTTCGGGAGGCCATTCCCAACACACGTTCCAATTTGCCAGAAGCTCTGAGAAAATGTTCCCAAAACACAATGCATGATTCTGGGGATGGTCCCGCCATTCAGAGGGCAAATGCGTGACGTAGTCTGCTCTGGGTGGGACCCAAGTGCGCAGCCACCTAGCTCTGGGGATTCTCTCTGAGAATGCAGAGAAGTGCAAGCTTTGTCTGCATCGGCCGCTTCTCTGTTCATACTTGAACTACAACTGATATTTTGGCTTAAGGGTGGGCCTTACATCCGCTTCTACTGAATTTTGCCCTGTTTGCTTGGTCATCTGCCAGCCTAGCAAAATCTTTTTGTTTGTTGTTGTTGTTGTTGTACGTGGGCCTCTCACTGTTGTGGCCTCTCCCGTTGCGGAGCACAGGCTCCGGATGCACAGGCTCAGTGGCCATGGCTCACGGGCCCAGCCGCTCCGCGGCATGTGGGATCTTCCCGGACCGGGGCACGAACCCGCGTCCCCTGCATCGGCAGATGGACTCTCAACCACTGCGCCACCAGGGAAGCTCAGCAAAATCTTTTTGAATATTGATTGTGTCAGGTCCTGGGTTAGTGATACCACACAGCTCTAAGCTGTCCACTAACTCGATGAAGTAGGTCTTCCTTTTCTTCACCCAACTCATTAATAAGTCCTACAATACTCGGCCACTTGCACAGCCCTATGGCATACCAATAGAGACCTTCTTAAGGCTGACGATCTTATTTGCATCTTGCTGAAATGTTGTTTTCAATCATTTCTAGGTTGATTCATATGGTTAGGCTTTGTTGAACCATGCATGCCATGCATTTCCTGAGCTGGGAGCCCAACCTTATTATCTTACCAGTAACTTTTAAGAAATATTACTAAAAAAGTCTGATCCTCTTACAAGCCATGAAGATACATGCAAATTCTCAGCTCTGCCTCTTTACTAAAGCTGTTATCCTCAACTGGGCTGCCTTCCTGCTTTTGTGTGGAAGGTCAAGCCCACCACCTCCAGGAAGCCTTCCCAGATCATAGCACCTAATGGAACCACATCTCTCATTACGTGTTCTATTCAGTCTTGTATCATAGTCAATCTTACTTATATTAAATAAGGTCTCTCCCCAAAGATCAGAAATGTATAGCAACTAGGGGCCTCTGCTACCTTCTCCTGTACCCCTGCCCGACAGGCCCCAGTGCCAACATCTACGAGCTCAGTGACTCCACAACCCTCGCCCTTGGTCTCCTTCTCTTGCCCCCTTCCTTCCCTCCCTCCCACTCTAGGCACTTTCCTCCGTCTCAGAACAAGGGCCCCAGAGAGGTTGCACATAGAGGCCATCGGAGCTATCTCTCTGCCTCCTGTCTTTCCCAGGCAGGCTCTCAGGGTGACCCGGAGTACTCTCCATGGCAGCGGGCCTCGCCCACCCCGCCACAGGCTGAGCTGGGCCACTTTGGCCCCCTAGTACCCTGGCTGCATTACGCCTTCTCCCCCAGGCCTACCACCCCCAATGCCCCAGGCTCTCCTCTGGCCTCTGACAGCTCTAGTCCGGGGGTCAGAATTCAGTCTCCCAATGCAGCGAGGCCCTCTGTGGGCAGGAAGGCTCTGGCTGGGAGGAGGGGATGGGGACCTAGGCATCGTGGGGAGCGCTGCCTGTAGCAAAGGGCTGAGAGAGGCCACAGCTCTGGGTAGTTCGCACATGCGCGCGTGCGCGCACACACACACGCTCTCCACCCTGCAACTGGAAATTCTCTTCACCTCCAAGTAAAATGAAGAATACATTTGAATGGTTCCAATGAGCTGGTTTTTTTTTGTTTTTTTTTTTTTTTGCCGTACGCGGGCCTCTCACTGTTGTGGCCTCTCCCGTTGCGGAGCACAGGCTCCGGATGCACAGGCTCAGCAGCCATGGCTCACGGGCCCAGCCGCTCCGCGGCGTGTGGGATCTTCCCGGACTGGGGCACGAACCCGAGTCCCCTGCATCGGCAGGCGGACTCCCAACCACTGCGCCACCAGGGAAGCCCAGCGATGAGCTAAGATTTTAACTAGATTCCAAAGAACAGAATTCTTCCTGCAGCAGAATATTCCACATGCCTTTGTATAGTTACTGAGCTCTGTGGCAAGATGCTTCTGAGCTTCTGAGCTCTCCCTCTGGAAGCCACAGGGGCCATGCTGCCGAAGTCCACGGCTCTCCCCGAGCCCCAGCTCAGAAAGGTCACAGAGCTGCCTGTCGCGGGCCTCCAGCCGGCCTCCAGCAGGCCCCTCGGCTGCCTTCTCCACAGGGACTTTCTCTTCTGGGATTTAAGTTTTACTCATAAATCTGCGGAGGGGCTTTTACTGAGCTGAGGGAATAAAAAGAGAAGAAGTCAAAATCTTCTCCAAGCGAGACCAGTTCCACAAAAATAAAAGAGGGAGCTGAGAGGGGAGGCAGAGGAGGTGAGAACACTGAGTGGGTACAAAGGGGAATGAGCAAGACCCACTTCAACCTGAGGAGAGATTACCTGGACTTAACATATGTGAAAAAGAAGCCAAGAACATTAGACCCTTTGTTATTTCCAAAGAGTTGATCAGTTTAGCTCAAATCTCGCTGACTTTCCAATCTCCTATCCCAGGAGGATTTGAGGTCACTGTGCTGCCTTCTCTGGGAATGTGCAGGACACAGTCACAAAGCAGAGACCTGAAATGGGAGGCGTTGAAATCACTGCAAATCCCACTTCTGCCTCAGAAATTAAGCTGTCTAGGGCAATGTTTCTCAACTGGGCCAATTCTGACAGTCCCCGGGGAACATCTGGAGCGGCTGGCAACAGTTTGGGTTGTCACAGCTGGGAAGGGAGCGCTACTGCCCCCACCCCAATGACGAAATAGCTGACCCCAAATGTCAATAGTGCTGAGGCTGAGAAACCCTGGTCTGAGCTTCTAAAGAGAGGCTGATTGAGGAGTGAGGTGCCGTCTGGGGGGTGATTCAGGGTCTAGGATGCCTTTGAGGCAAAGACTGGTAAAGAAGCTAATGTGGGTACCAGGGACCAGAGATGATAACTAAGGTGGGAAGGAAATGAGGGGAAGGAAAAGGCCATCAGGAGGACACAGACCCCATTTCACAAGCGAGACAACTGAAACTCAAGAGGTACGGTGACTTTTCTGAGGTCATGCAGGCTTGGGGCCTGATCCCTGACTTCAAGGTCAACTGCAGCTCTCAGGCAATGACAGCAATTCTGCTTTCGCTTGGCAGTGTCTGGGCCCAAATTTCCCCCCACAGTGGTTACCAGCAGTAAAGGGCTACGAGAGCTCAGGATCTTACCATAAGTCTATTCCCAAGCCTTAAGCTCATATACTTCCCAGCAGAAAAATTGTGTCACCAGCAAGGGCTGTACAAATTAGTGTCATCATCAGTTTCTAAACCCAGTGAGGACTGACATGAAGGATTCTCTTAGAGTATGCAATATCTGAAAACACCAGGGCAACACGTACCACAACCATATTGCCCAAGAAAGTTGTCAGTTTGTGACATTTGGGGCTCCTGAGGATGGCATCGCTGCCTTCCTTTTCTGACTCAAAGTTCTTTCTCAGTCTTACACCTTCGGGTGCCTGGCTTGAACCAGTGTGACCCACTTCTGAGACACGTTCAACTGGGCTTAGAGACCTGGACTGTTTTCTTGGGTTGCCATTTGTGAATCTGGACCCGGGCCATGTGCCTAATATTCAGAGATGAATAGTCTCCATGAGACTATTCAAAGTCTCCATGAGAAGGGTAAGTGCCTTGAAGGGAAAACTTGAAAAGCCACAGTGAACAGCAAGGTGCACAGATACACACTAGGAACTGCTTCTCATCACTGCGGGGCGGCTTTCGGCAGCCACCACCCTGAGGGGGAAACTCAGACATCTCTGAAGAGTGACCCCAGTCTCTCTCGGGCTTGGCCTGCTCAGCTTCTCCTCCCGCCCTGCCCTCCAAGGGGGTTCTGCCCTGATGGACAGTCCCCCGGCTTTGGGGATGGAGAGCTGTGGGAGGAAGAAGGCAGCCGAGAGACTTGCAACAGCTGGGACTGGAGGAGGATTTTCTGGATGTTGGAGGTGAGAGAGGCTCAAGAACTGAGTGGGCAGGAGAGGAAGGTGGGAATTTTAAACACGTCTTGCTCTAAATATTCCCCTTCATGGTGTTCAGGAAAGGCAAATAAAGAGCTCGAGTTACTTGGAGATATTTAGCAATGCTAGCCCACAGTATAGGATAGAGGAATTTATGGGATAAGGGCTTTACTCAAAGCCCTTTTTTTTTTTAACATCTTTATTGGAGTATAATTGCTTTACAATGGTGTGTTAGTTTCTGCTGTATAACAAAGTGAATCAGCTATTTGTATACGTATATCCCCATATCTCTTCCCTCTTGTGTCTCCCTCCCACCCTCCCTATCCCACCCCTCTAGGCGGTCACAAAGCACCGAGCTGATCTCCCTGCACTGTGCGGCTGCTTACCACTAGCTATCTACTTTACATTTACTCAAAGCCCTTATGATGGGCTCAGCTCCCCAGGGAGTAGTGGGCAGTCGTGGCTATCAGGTGGCAGTTTTCTGTGCCCTTCGGTGTCTCCCAATGAGCTGGCCTCGTTCCAAGTCTGAGGAGAAGGTTTCCACGCACTGTGTCTGGCTCTTACTTTTCCCAACCTAGATGTGTCCTGGGAGCCCCAGGGAGCCTGAGGGGCTTTCAGCTGTGACCGAAAGCGGTGTGCTAAGCCCTCTGCCTGCAGCACACTGGAGCACAGTAACATTATTCATCACCACATTTTTTAACCAGACATCCCACTCTCAATATGTAGATGTTTTTCAAAATTTAAAAACTAGTCACCAAAGTGACTACTGACACCAGTGACCCATGACACTTGTGTGTAGCTAGTGACGGTAAAGGGTGGACTTCCGCTTTGGGGCCTGTGTATGGATGGAACCACTGTCCTGGCCTCCTTGACACTGTGTTTCCCAACAAAACTGGCCTTGCTGAGGTGATCTGCCAGTGGTGCATGATCCTAATCCATTCTTGTAGCTCCACAGAGAAAGAGGAGAAGGGCGTGTTCTTCTGTGGAGGGACTGGGTTTCAGATCAGTTGGCCCCCTTCTGGAAAGGGCAACTGGCACAGTTATGTTTATGGACAGCAGAACAAGCCAAGAATCCTGTGAAGGGCCCTCCACCCACCGTTCTAAGAGGGATTAGGCAGGAGTAAATGTGGCAAATCACCTCTAAATTTCCTGGAAATCTAGTTCATTTCATTATCAAATCCAACAATGACAGAAATTGAGAGAGACCCATCTTTTTGTGACACTGCAGTAAAAGTATTTATGTTTGTGGTAGGCAGAATAATGCCAACCCCCATGATGTTTACATCCAATCTCTGGAACCTGTGAATATGTTACCTTACATGGCAAAAGGGACTTTGCAGATGTGACTAAGGTGAATACCTTAAAAGAGGGAGATTATCCCAGATTATGCAGGCGAGCCCAGGGTAATCATGAGAGTGTTAGGGAAAAAGGAAGCAGAGAAGGAGATGTAACAACAGAAACGGTGTCAGAGTGATGCAGGATGAGAAAGACTCAACTGGCTAGTGCTGGCTTTGAAAATGGAAGGGGATCAACAAGCCAAGAAACACAGAAGCTGGAAAAGGCAAGAAACGGATTCCTCTGCAGAGCCTCCAGAAGGAATGCAGCCCTGTTGACACCTTGATTTTAGCCCAGTGAGACCCATTTCATATGCCTGACCTCCAAAACTGTGAGATAAAATAGATCTGTGCTGTTTTAAGTCACCAAATTTGTCATGATTTGTTACAGCAGCCATAGGAAACGAATATACTTTCCTTGAGACGCCTATGCCTCCCAAGGACAGGAATGAGATCTTAATCCTCTCCTTGTGACCCAGTGGCAATGCCTTGCCTGCAGTGGTTCTTGATAAATATTTGTTGAACGAATCTACTCGACCTTGCTCCATGAAAGATCTCGTCCAAGTCATTTAGTCACCTCCACACACATAATCACTTGGGAGTTAAAGCCAAGTGTTCTCTTGTGTGTTTTGATATTGATGCATCTCTGGCTGCAGCGAGAAGTTCCTCGAGAGGAAGGGTCCTGCTGGCACATGTGTTCTGAATATAGGGCCTTGCACTGACCAAGCCACAAGTCCCCGCTGGGGGTTATTTGGTAGCATGAAGCTAGAACCAGGCTTGCTTCAGGAGCAAGGGGGAGGGAAGAAAGTAGGCAAAGGGCACCCCAATTCCTCTGTGGAAATTTTACAGAACTAATCCTGGCTGGGACGGACCTTCCCTGACCCTGGTCTGAAGATCCTATAGTCTCTTTCTACAGCCCAGACTTCCTACTTTCAAGAAAGAACGTAACATTTACAATCTATGGCCCTCTGTGAAGTTATATCAGTGGGTCACCTCTCCCTGGAGCCTGTGCATTCTAAATCTGTTCTCTGCTCAGTGTGAAGGGGTTTTTAGAGACTGTCATTTCCCCCTCATAACACCTCAGAGTCTCCTGTGCTATCAATGCCCCTCAGACTGGCCTTGCTGAGACAATCTATGGCCAGAAAGTGTGGCAGGAGAGAGCTGAACTAAAACCCTTAATATTCACACCAACCCTGTGCAAAGACAAGAGCATGGGAATGCCATCAATTCCTTGGACAGATCTTGTGATGCCTTTGATGTCAGTTCCCATGTCCTGACTGTGAGATTATGCGGGATTATGCACAGGGATAGAGGAAAATGGAAGGGTTTAGAATAAAGCTCAGGTTCCTGATTTGGGTGATAAGATAGATGGTTAGTTAGCCCCATTGACTACAATTTGATGACAGTGAGACGAGAAAGTCTCAGGGTGAACAGACACGCTATCATGGTCATGCTGCAGCTGAGGAGCCTGTGGCGACCCATTTGGAGGTATCTAAGCAGACACTGGAGATGTGGGGTTAGGGCCAGAGGTCTTGGAGTAATCAATGTCTACCTGAGAGTAAGTGATGTTGGGAGCTGACGTTGGCAGAACAGATTAATAGATTAAATCTTCCAGGGTGAGAAGAAAAAACGGCAGAGTCTGAAAGCCTGGTCAACACCAACATTTAAGAAAACAGACAGAGGTAGAAAAGTGAACAAAGAAACTAAGAAAAAAGTGGTGAAGAGGGTCAGGAGAAATAGGAAACGTGGTCTTTCAGAAGCTAAAGACCTTGAAAGAAGGTTTCAAGAAGGCGAGGATCAGTGGTGTCAGAGGAGCCAGCAAGGTGAAGGATGAGCGGACTAGAAAGAGGTCCCTGGACCGGGCAGTGCCAGGGCACTAGTGGCCTCAGCGGAGCAGCTTCTGTAGGAATTGTGCATGTGCGTGTGTGCATGTATGTGTGTTGGGGGAGCAGAAACGATACCACAGAGGACTGGGGAATAAACAGGAACTGAGGACATGGAGACAGCAGGTCTCTTTTTAATAAGCAGGGAAATAAGAGAGGGAAAGAAAAGAAATGGGGCACTAGCTTGAAAGGGAATCAGGATCAAAAGGTGGACTCTTCATTTTGTAATAAAGGAAACTTGAGTGTGAGATGCAACCAGTGAGGGAGAAATAAAGACACCAGTGAGTGAAGACTCAGAACACTGGGCTGGAAGGACACAGCAGAATTAGACGTGCATGTGGCCGAACTGGTGATGCCCAGGGTGTGACCTCAGGTCCATCACAGTGCAAGGGTGGAGGATGACTCCTTGCCGCGGCCCTTGCATGGCTCTGCCCTAACCACACTCTCACCTCGTGGAGTTTGTCAGCCTTCTGGGTCTGCTTCTTCCGGCTTCTCTGAGCAGCAACTCGGTTTTTTTCCCTCCTTCGGACCTTCCTGTCATCATCCTCAGGGCTCTGGGGGGGAAGGTTTGGTCAGGTGTGATGCTGAGGCCCCTCGCCTCACCTTCCCTGCCCTTTCTCTTCACCCAGCATTGCTTATGGAGCATCACCATTTTCTTTGCAGCCACAGCAGTGCTTGCTGCTACATCAGTGGGGTAACAGTGGCCCCACATCGAGGAGCACTCACCATGCGCTATGACTGTGCTAGCTGTTAACCCTGTCGCCACCCTGAGAAATGTGTGGTGGGACCGCCATCTAAAAGATGAGGAATAAGAAACTCAGAGATGCTGAGGAACTTGCTCCAGGTATCACAGCTAGTAGCGGGGCGAACGGGAAGTGGAACTCAGGTCTGCTGGACTGCAAACCAACGTTCTCAAACCTCTCCCCTGCAGGGCCTGTGCCTGGAAGAGGTGTGGTGTTGGTGCTCATCTGAGGACGGGAAAGGCAGAAGGCGGCTGCTATCTGGGACTTGCTGTGGGCCGGGGCTTCCACCACCACATGCAAACAGGTACTTTTTTTTTTTTTTTTCAATTTAGAAGATATCATTTAAATTTTTTAATTGGTAAAACATCTACATGGTTTAAAAATTAAAAGGAATAAAACATTGAAAAGCAGACCCCGAGATAACCACTTTGGTTTCTTGTATATAGGAAGCATCATTTCTAAAACATATTTCTAAAATGTTTGCAAAGAGGTACTTTTGATACTGTGTACAAATCACCATTATGCTGATAACTAACTGCAACCACGTAACTCTCCCAACATACCACGTGATCCTGAACACCACAACAATAGGTTCCTTTGAACAATGTCTGACTGACGTTTTGTTTCACACACAGGTCAGGGCGAATGAGAAAGCAAATTTATGATGTGTCTTGAAAGCTCTTGGCTGTATATGAGATTTAACCAAACTTGGTCAAATCCTTCAAGAGTTATCCTGAGGGCTTCCCGGGCTTCCCTGGTGGCGCAGTGGTTGAGAGTCCGCCTGCCGATGCAGGGGACACGGGTTCGTGCCCCGG